CTTCCATACACAACCCTTACGGAGCTAGGTTAGAATTCGTCTTACGCAGCCCACGGTTATCTCCCCCTGTGTAGATCCGGGTTACAATTAGGCTATAACAACCCATGCTTGTCGTAAGAGGAGACAAACAGGATCGGTGGTCTCGCTGACTGGGTTGATGAATGCCAGAGTATCTATCACATTTGCGCTGACCTGTGCTGGGTCTGGGCTCGATTGCTTGCAGACCGTTGCCATAGAGCTACAGTACATCGGTAAACAACAGCTCAACATTGATCATAACACCGGTTCCCCTCCTTTCAGGATACTATATCAACAGGAAAACCATGTATATCTATATATCGTATATCTAACTGTCATGAGTATACTAGTATTTTGATGTTGTGGTCGAGACAGGTATATACAACGACGATGAATTTACTGGTCAGGCATGCAGTAATCACCACCGTGTCGTTTTAAAACCAGTCCTGGTTCCCGATCCACAAAGCGTTCGTAGCGCTACGTACGACTTTTGTAAGCCTGTGGTAAACTATAGAGTTACGACATGTCGTAACGTTACGAACGCTTTGTGGATCGGGACCCTGGTCCCCTGTCCACAAAACGATCGTAACATTACGACTTGCCGTAACTCTATAGTTTAGCATTTGCTCACGAATGTCATAGGGCTATAAACGCTTGTTGATCGGAACACTGGAAAACTGTTTAAATATTGAACTTTATAGGAATCCCTCACCCCTCACCCCTCCGATTTGATCACTGGAAACTCTCTGAAATGGACATATCTCTATTTACAGATACATGCAGTGGGTCGCCTGTAATTCAGCCTGTGTCCTCGACGACAGACCTCCCTTCAACGTTGTCAACGTCGTCCATACATATTACAACATCCTCAACATCGATAGACCTTACTGCATCAAGTATGACTGCGACCACTGCAGGTACTACTCCATCTTCACAAGCTTCATCAGCATTCACTCCGTCGTCGACAATCTCCACCAGTTCCCTGAGATCAGCGACAGTGTCTACCTTCACCACTGTTCCTTCGTCAGCTACCTCCACCACCGTACTCGGCGCAACGACGACAGAATCAATCTCGCTTGTGTCTTCTTCAGAAATAACAAGTAGTTCACTTGGGTCAACAACAGTGTCAACGCCTATTTCTTCAGTATTTTCAACAAGCTCAGTAGGGTCAACGACAGCATCACTAGTCTCGTCTGATTCTTCTTATACAATCTCCACGAGTTCACTTGGGCCAACGCCAGCAACGTCCTTCGTTTCTGTTCCTTCATCTACAATAACCAGTAGTACACCAGGGGCAACAGCAGCATCAACCGCGACGTCTGATTCTGCCTCATCAGTCGCCATTAGTGTATTCGGGTCAACGACAGCAACATCAACCGTCACGCCTACTTCCTTATCAGCAAGCTCCACTAGTGTGCTTGGGTCAACGACAGCAACATCAACCGTCACGCCTACTTCCTTATCAGCAAGCACCACTAGTGTGTTTGGGTCAACGACATCAACATCAGCCGTCACGCCTGTTTCATTAGCAAGCTCCACTAGTGTGATTGGGTCAATGACAGCAACATCCCCCATGTCTGATCCTTCTTCAGCAAGCTCCAATAGTGCGTTAGGGTCTACATCGGCAACGTCAATCGCGTCTGACTCCTCTTCAGCAGTATCAAGCAGTTCAGTCTTGTCAACGACAGCACCATCCACCACATCTACTCCGTCTTCATCAGTCGCGACAACTTCACTGGCCGCGTCCGTTTCATCCTCAGCAATGCCCTCCAGTTCACAGGGGTCAACGACGTTATTGACCGCCACGACTGCTTCTTCGTCAGAGTCTACGACAGCTGTTACGTCTCTTCTAACTCCTGTGCTGTCATCTTCAACCTCGCAAACAACGATGTCGGATATATCTACATCAATACCGACACCAACTACAGTTACATCAACAGCTGTCACACCAACATCTTCGACAATCCGTTCTACATCACATGTGTCAGACCTTCCTACGCCTACATCCTCACCTTCTTCATCAACTGCTCCAACATCATCATCTCAAATACCGACTACCGCACAGACAGCGTCCCCAACGATATCTCCATCAAGCATCACAGTGACAACGACGACGACGCCGGTTACAGGTATGTAAGGCTAATTCACTTTGCAGACGTGTGTGCTCCAGCAGCCAAAGTAGGTGTGATGAAAAATAAATCGGATAATACAAATATATTTATCATTTAGCTGGGAATACAACCACTTTGAGTAACTTCGTAAAGTGAAGCGAATATGGAAGCTATATAACATGAGTAGGGGTGGTGTGGTGGCCTTGTGGTTAAAGAGTTCGCTCGTCAGGTCGAAGGCCCGGGTTCGATTCGTAAATATCGTACATATCGTAAATTTATGCTTAATTCAGGAGATAGGCATTCTGTCTGTAAAAAAAACCGGTCTTGTAGCTTTTAATCATCGTATTAGGGGCAATAGGGTATCCGTCAGGTCGAAAATCCCGGATTCGATTCACCACATGGGTACAATGTGTAAAGCCCTTTTCTGGTGTCTTGTGCCGTGATATTGCTGCGATAATGCTAAAAGCGGTGTATAACAATACTAACACACTCAATCTTATGATTTTATAGATGGTTTCGGTCGTTTTAAGTTGCAACAATCCTTGATGTACAGCCATAGGAATTATGACAATGTAATTGCCACTTTACTGGGTGAAGCCCTTTTCGAAAGGATGTCTACTTTCCCCCGCCATCTCCTGTTGTCTTCTGCTTGAGATGTTCCTGGACATCCAATGTATTGTCTTCCTTCTGTCCCCAGTTGTGTGTCCTGCTGGAGAGTTCCACAACGCTGCCAACATATGTGAGTCGTGCCCTGCCGGTCACTACCAGCCCGACCAAGGAGCAGCTGAATGCACCCCGTGTCCGACAGGAAAGTACCAAGAAGTTCCCGGATCTGTTGAGTGTAAACAATGTCCGTCTGGCACATACCAGGACGCCACAGGAGCCACCAGATGTACAGACTGCCCTGCCGGACAATACCAGGACTCTACAGCAGCAGCCACGTGCCTTGACTGTCCAGCTGGAACGTCCCAGGCGGTGGCAGGTGGCACTGGATGTGAGGCGTGTCCACTTGCGACATACCAAGACACCCCTGGTTCACCTGGTTGTGTTAACTGTCAGGCAGGATATAACACAACATCCACGGGTACCACGGCTGCTGCAGATTGTCTGAGTGAGTGACGCAGTTCTTGTATATGTACAAAGTCAATAACAGAGCCATTGATTTGTCAGTAGATTCACAAATTTGATTTCATTTGTTCCAAAGGTTTATCTGAAACAATATGAACTGATGCAAACTGAATGTCCACTGTATGAGGAGGTCGTGTCTTCAGAAAAGCATGTATTGTGTTTAGGCAGCCATTTATAGAACACTTCTCACATCAGAGTAATTGATAATGGACAGGAAGTATTTTAGAAGCTGTAAAGATGAAGGAAAACCAAGTTCTATGGATAGTCAACTCTCGTATTGCAATGAGTGCGATGTTTCGGTGTAGGTACTAACATCATTACTTGCTTGATAACAGTGTTGGTACCTACACCGAAACATATAGGGGCGGATACCGCTTTAGAGAAAGTATGTGTGTGCAGTTCAGAAGGGGGATTGGGTGCACAGTTCATTTTCACTCATTTTCTCTAGAGTTTCAATGGTCAGTTGATAAAATTTCAGGATGAATGGGGCTGGGTGCGTACTCCTGCACCCCATCTGCATCTGCCTATGACGTCGCACTCATTTGCAATAGAGAAATTGACTTCCCATAAAACTCCTTCAATTGACAGGAACATAAAGTAGTTCACAGAATGAGTACATAGCTGGAAAAGTCTACGCATTACAAGCTATTATTGCTGAAACAGCATTCCACAGAGTGTACACTTTGTTGTTTCCCATCTTTATCAAACATGATCTGTTATATCATTCCTTATCACTTCTTCATGACATACAAATGAGGGATAAACAGTTACCACTTCATAGTAATTCAAGTACTTCACTATTTGCTTGTTGTTTTAGGTAGTGTTTACAGGTGGCCGGACTTGCACAAAACCACCATGCCATTTACACATCTGTAACTGTCATGCTTTAACATGTAATTCAACTTGTAGGAACGCGTGGTTTTGTGCATAAGGTTCAGTTGTTGCTTTTCTATACTGTCATTGGCAACGGAACAGTAGTATGTCGTCTTTATTCATTTTAATTTTAATGATTCCAATTGTGAAATTTAAGGATGCCAAAGTGGTCACTTTTCATAGAAGGAACAATTTGCCTTCTGAAATTAATTTCATTAAATCTTTCGTCGTCAGTCGTGTGTGTCGCGGGTCAGTTCAGGACGTCGTCTACAGCGTGTGAGCAGTGCCCGGAAGGAACATATCAGAACGAGACGGGGTCCACTCAGTGCCTGGCCTGCCCTATTGGCACCTACCAACCCAATACAGGATCTGCTGATTGTATTACTTGTAACACAGGCTACACAACACTGAACACTCGGTCCACAGCGGAATCTGACTGTCTTGGTAAGACGACCTTTTGTAATTGATGTACTTGGAGTGTTGGCAAGGTGATGGTGTAAATGTATAAGGGACACAGGCAGGTTTGCTATTGTCGAAACGTTCGTTGCCCTATGAACTTCTTAAGCCCATTCTTAACACATTGGCTACGATCAAAGTTAGGAATTCTTAGGGCTACGAACGTATTGAGAATAAGATCCCAGATTAAGAGGAAATATTTGAGACAAACAGAATTGATACCATGTGGATTCTAAAAAATCAAAATATTTGAATATTTATAATCTCCACGACTGACCGAGGTCAGTTCTGTTAAAACATTTGAGTTTTCGACGTTGTACACTTCTATCACACATGTCAGATTTATGACATTTTGTCAGAAATGTAAGGAAATGCCATTTGAAAAGGACGTTTGCTGAGGAAACAGTATGCAAAATGCCTGACGTCCTCATATATAACGTCTATGGAAAATTTGGGGGCAAACAATTTGGACAGGAGAAGACAATTACATGGGTACCAATTGTTCTCCCGTTTTCGCGGATCTGTTTCTTTATACATGTGAGTCAGAATTTCTGCTTGGGTTGGGAAAATCACAGCAAGGTAATATGATCACGATGTTCCTAGACATCCGATGTACTGTGTTCCTTCTGTCCCTAGTTGTGTGTCCTGCTGGAGATGTTCCTGGACATCCAATGTATTGTGTTCCTTCTGTCCCCAGTTGTGTGTCCTACTGGAGATGTTCCTGGACATCCAATATATTGTATTCCTTCTGTCCCCAGTTGTGTGTTCTGCTGGAGATGTTCCTGGACATCCAATATATTGTATTCCTTCTGTCCCCAGTTGTGTGTTCTGCTGGAGATGTTCCTGGACATCCAATGTATTGTGTTCCTTCTGTCCCCAGTTGTGTGTCCTACTGGAGAGTTCCGCAACGCTGCCAACACATGTGAGTCGTGCCCTGCCGGTCGTTACCAACCCGACCAAGGAGCAACTGAATGCACCCCGTGTCCGGCAGGACAGTACCAAGAAGTTCCCGGATCTGTTGAGTGTAAACAATGTCCGTCTGGCACATACCAGGACGCCACAGGAGCCAGCGGATGTACAGACTGCCCTGCCGGACAATACCAGGACTCTACAGCAGCAGCCACGTGCCTTGATTGTCCAGCTGGAACGTCCCAGGCGGTGGCAGGTGGCATTGGATGTGAGGCGTGTCCACTTGCGACATACCAAGACACCCTAGGCTCACCTGGTTGTGTTAACTGTCAGGAAGGATATAACACAACCTCCACGGGTACCACGGCTGCTGCAGATTGTCTGAGTGAGTGAAATACCCTCTTATATATTCGTTACAATGTCATCACCTGTTACTGAATCTATATTAAAAAAGGTCGTTATACTTTTGAACTTCTGACGAAATGCAAAACCTACTGAAGTCTAATACATCTTTCGTCGACAGTCGTGTGTGTCGCGGGTCAGTTCAGGACGTCGTCTACGGTGTGTGAGCAGTGCCCGGAAGGAACATACCAGAACGAGACGGGGTCAACTCAGTGCTTGGCCTGCCCCATTGGCACCTACCAACCCAATACAGGATCTGCTGATTGTATTGCTTGCAACACAGGCTACACAACAAAATACACCAGGACCATTGCGGAATCTGACTGTCTTGGTAAGGGCAAGTATAAGTGTCGTACTTGGAGTTTTGGGGAAGTGGTGGATGGTGAAGGAATGAAAGGTCACAGTCAGATGTTGAAATATCGAGGGGGTTTCAGTCATTGAACCAATAAGTGGAATCGATCTAGCTTTACCAACTAGGCTATCCCACCACCCTTGGCAGCAGCAGTAGCAACAGTACAGGTGGAAATGGTAGTACAACAGTATTTACTGTAGCAACAGTAGTAGTAGTAGTAGTAGTAGTAGTAGTCCGTGCAGCAGTAGTAGTACTAGTTGCAGCAGCAGTAGTAGTAGTAGTGGTAGTAGTAGTAGTGGTAGTAGTAGTAGTAGTAGTAGTAGTAGTAGTAGTGGTCCGTGCAGCACTAGTAGCAATAGTCGCAGCAGTAGTAGTAGGAGACGCGATAGCTGTAATGGACGTAGCAGTAGCAGAAGTAGAAGTAGCAGCAGTAGTAGTAGCATTAGCACTACCAGTAGTTGTAGTAGTTCCAGCAGCAACAGTAATAGTAGGAGAAGACGCGACAGCTGTAATGAAAGCAGTAGTAGACGTAGCAGCAGCAGAAACAGCAGTAGTCGTTGCAGCAGCAGCAGTAGTAGTAGTAGTAGTAGTTGCAGCAGCAGTAATATTAGCAGACGACGCGACAGCTGTAATGGAAGCAGGAGAAGAGGTAGTAGCAGTAGTAGTTGCAGCAGCACTAGTGGTAATAGTAGGAAGAGGAGAAGGAGGAGGAGTAGGAAGTTACTGTAGCAGTTTGCTTGTTTGTTACTTGCCTGATGCCGCACTCTGCCATAATCCAGCTGTAGGACGGGGGTATATCAATAATGGACCATGGATAGTGTCGGGACCATTCCTTATAATCACGGAGAGGATGTATCTCCTTTACTGCAGCAGCGTCCAGGATCAGTAGTCTCAGTGTAATCGCATGTTCATGTTGCAGTTGTCTGTACCCCCGGGGAAGTTCGCAGTGCGTCTAACGTGTGTCAGAAGTGTACTGCGGGGACCTACCAGTCGAACTCGGGGCAGGAGACGTGCACCAACTGCTCTGTCGGAACCTACCAGCCAGCCTCAGGGGCGACCTCTTGTGTCAGCTGCGACGAAGGTTATACAACATCGTCTACGGGGACGGGACTAGCGAACGAATGCCTCAGTAAGACAACCAAATACATATTCTGACTGCATATTTCCCGAGCCGTGAACTGTTAATATGCAATTATATTTTCAGATGTTTGGATAAAGGTGGACGCTGTTGATAAATATCTCTTATGCCTACAGTCCCAATTTGCCTTCATCCCAGGTTGTCTACAAAAATTACTGTAGGCAGAATGGGAAATGTTTTTTGACCTATAAAATAATGGAACAGCCCATTTACCAGTCACTGAAGGGTTTGTTGTTGGGTTTGGAAAAGGGGTTGGGAATGAGGCAGTTCGTATTCCTCATTTATAAAATAAACGAAAAGTCAAAAAAAATTATGTCTGAACATTTAATACACCAAAACCGAAACAAAACAGTAAACCCAATGAAAAATCCCCGCACTGTACATTCACCGAAAGTGTGAATGTTAACTCCTGGCTGGAGCTCGATATGGACGACCCTGTCCCTCAGCAATATGTCTAACTAACTCCCGATGTTACACTGATTAACGCTGTCGTCAGCTATGACCACAAAATGCACGAGATTTTAAAACCCACGTGCATATACGCATAGCGACGGGTGTATTTGGGCGCTCTGACCCAAGCTAAAAACGAAAACATCTCTTTCCTTCTGTCCAAGGGTAATTAGTGCACTTTCACTTAGATTACACGACATCATGATATGGGTGATAATAAACGGCAAATTAAAGTTTCAAAGTTGTGGTTGGTCTTTATAATCCAGTTACAGATACATACAGACATATACAATGTGTCTGCTCAGTTAATCAAACTCCTGATGAATTAAAACGGAAACAAACAGTACCCATCACACAATGGCAAATGTTCAGCAAGTTGAATTCATCACTTCACAAACAGGACAGCAAGTATTCTTTGCTGGGTACCGCTATCGCCTAAACGTCAGGCAACAGACTACAACACGTTCTACCATGACTTCAGTAAATACGGGATTGTGATTGGTTAATTAAAGTCATTCAGGGGTATATAATCACGTCATATACCTCCGATTTTCCAACACAGTATGTACTGTTTTAAATCTAAATAACCAATATCTTCTGATTGAAAGTGTGTGCATTCCGCATGCAAAGGCCTCTGTTCCACAACTGGAGACTTCATTGGGCCCAGGACGAATAACCATCTTGAGGGTTGGCATCACAAGTAGAAGAACTAAATTCTATTGACATTTTGTCAATTCCAATGGATAAAATGCATTCAGAAAGAAAAAAAGATACTTTATACCAGAAAACCTATTTTTTCTCATTTTTTCCGTATTGCCTACAATTAACGTTTGGTCAAGTTCATCTTAGTAAAGGTAGAATAGGGTCAGCACATTAACCTACTTCCTGATCACTGGACCTTATCAAGTTGCGATAACGTGTAGGCTCTTGGGAGGTTTTTTGACTTTTGCATTTTCGTTTTGTATCGTTCAAGTTGGGACACGGATAACGCCCAAAGCGAAATTGAAACCGTGGACCTTCCGTAAACAGAAAAACTTCCACGTTAGTACGTGGAACTTCCTTGTTGTTCTTACCGTATAACTTCCACAATAGTACGTGGAACTTACGTATTATTACCGTTTAGTTTCCACGTTAGGACATGGAACGCCCTTGCATTCGAACCTTGGTACATTCGAGTTAGACATCCGAGTTTGAAATAGTCCCCAGCAGCAGAGTAAGTGGTTCACATGTGCTGACATCGTATCCCGACTAGGTGGATTGTTCGCCTAACTAGTAATCACATCTGGTTCAGTAATCACATCTGGTTCAGTAATCACATCTGGTTCAGTAATCACATCTGGTTCAGTAATCACATCTAGTTCAGTAATCACATCTAGTTCAGTAATCACATCTAGTTCAGTAATCACATCTGGTTCAGTAATCACATCTGGTTCAGTAATCACATCTAGTTCAGTAATCACATCTGGTTCAGTAATCACATCTGGTTCAGTAATCACATCTGGTTCAGTAATCACATCTAGTTCAGTAATCACATCTGGTTCAGTAATCACATCTGGTTCAGTAATCACATCTAGTTCAGTAATCACATCTAGTTCAGTAATCACATCTAGTTCAGTAATCACATCTAGTTCAGTAATCTACACATCTGGTTCAGTAATCACATCTAATTCAGTAATCTCACATCTGGTTCAGTAATCATCTAGTTCAGTAATCTCTGGTTCAGTAATCACATCAGTAATTCAGTAATCACATCTGGTTCAGTAATCACATCTAGTTCAGTAATAATCACATCTGGTTCAGTAATCACATCTGGTTCAGTAATCACATCTCTGGTTCAGTTCAGTAATCACATCTGGTTCAGTAATCTAGTTCACATCTGGTTCAGTAATCACATCTGGTTCAGTAATCACATCTGGTTCAGTAATCACATCTGTAATCACATCTGGTTCGAGTAATCACATTCAGTAATCACATCTGGTTCAGTAATCACATCTGGTTCAGTAATCACATCTGGTTCAGTAATCTGGTTCATCTAGGTTCAGTAATCACATCTGGTTCACATCTGTAATCAATCAGGTTCAAATCACATCTGGTTCAGTAATCACATCTCTGGTTCAGTAATCACATCTGGTTCAGTAATCACATCTGGTTCTAGTTCAGTAATAATCACATCTGGTTCAGTAATCACATCTGGTTCAGTAATCACATCTGGTTCAGTAATCACATCTGGTTCAGTAAATCACATCTGGTTCAGTAATCACATCTGGTTCAGTAATCACATCTGGTTCAGTAATCACATCTGGTTCAGTAATCACATCTGGTTCAGTAATCACACATCTGGTTCAGTAATCACATCTGGTTCAGTAATCACATCTGGTTCATCTGTTCAGTAATCACATCTAATCACATCTGTTCAGTAATCACATCTGGTTCAGTAATCACATCTGGTTCAGTAATCACATCTGGTTCAGTAATCACATCTAGTTCAGTAATCACATCTCTGGTTCAGTAATCACATCTAGTTCAGTAATCACATCTAGTTCAGTAATCACATCTGGTTCAGTAATCACATCTGGTTCAGTAATCACATCTGGTTCAGACTGGAAGATGTACAGGCCACCGTCGTATAGCTAAACGTTGCCGACCACATTGTTGAAGAACAAACAAGGAAGAAAACCCATAGTGGCAAACTTAGCTTACTGTTGTATTTCTACTCTATTATACAGTCGTGTGTAAGGCTGGTCAGTATCGGAGTGCCCGAGACACGTGCCTGGACTGTGAGTATGGCCAGTACCAACCAGACACAGGGGCTGAAGCTTGTCTCAGCTGTCCTTCAAAACTGACCACCAGTTCTAGAGGGTCCACCTCGGCAAAAGACTGCATCGGTAAGTGAAATAATATTATGACATGAATATACACATGGGCAATACCGTGGAACATGACTGAACCGGACACATCCTAATCGGGATCTCTATCAAAACAGGTTTAATGTTACGGTTTCGAGATAACACTCTGCAATTATAATCAAGTAAAGTTTCTAAAATACAGACTTGATTCAATCATGAAAGAAATCATGAACTGCATGATAACGACGCAATATACAGCAAACTTTATGGAAAACAACTTCTTTATATTCGTGAGTGCGACGTTTCGATACAGATTCTTGTACCGTTGTCAAGCATAATGTTTGTTCTATATTGTACTTCCCAACTTCTAAAATGCCACTCAAAGAAGTTAACGACGCAATGTGTCATGCACTTAAAGCGTTCTAATCTGTATTCATGTATTTGAATGATTCGAGTTACAACTTGTCTTCAGCAACTCATGCTTGTCGTAAGGGGCGACTAACGGGATCGGGTGGTCACGTTCGCTGACTTGGTTGACACGGTATTTGGTATTACAGTTGTTTAAATGGATCAGTGAGGTGGGTGTACTAAACACTGAACTGCACAACGAAATCGGACTTCATTTACATGATATCAACTAACTTAATAACATGAACATATCAACACACTACTTCTTGATTGGCATTGATTGATATCAACTCACTGCATTTGATTGACAAATTGATTGATATCAACTCACTGCATTTGATTGACAAATTGATTCATATCAACTCACTGCATTTGATTGACAAATTGATTCTATCAACTCACTGCATTGGATTGACAAATTGATTGATATCAACTCACTGCATTGGATTGACAAATTGATTGATATCAACTCACTGCGTTTGATTGGCAAATTGATTGATATCAACTCATTACTTCATGGATGAAAAAAATGTATTATGTATTTTAAGGGGTGTAAATAATGGTTCGTGGGAATATTTCAATGAACCGTTAACACATGTCATCGTATCCCCAAAGTGGAGTTGCTCACAATGTTGATCACTGGATTGTCTGGTCCAGACTCGATTATTTAAAGACCGTCTTCATACAGCCTGACAACTGGGACCGGTGTTAAAGTATGTTTGTCAGTGAAAACGTACCGATGAATTTCACTTTAAACAAAAATGTAAATCCAATAAAGTGAAATTAAGATTGCGAATCCTCATAAATTGACCTTGCCAATTGAACATTTGAATCTCAGCATTTTATTCATCTTAGGATAAAAGTTGTTTAACAAACGATCATAGATTCAAATCGGTATTATTGGTTTGTATTACAAGGGGGTAAGTGCTGTAGGTGGAACACTTAAACGGTACGTGATGAGCGTTAACTTAGACCAACCCACCTGTTTCATTTGATGTGCATACACCCTTGTAATACCAATATTTTTTTCTATTTGAAACGATGATCGTTTGTTAAACAAGCTTTATCCTAAGTTTATTAAAATTCTGATATTTTAATGTTCAGTTGGCAAGGTAGAATTATGAGGTTCCGCAATCTAAATTTCACTTTATTCGATTTACTTTTTTGTTTAAAGTTTTACGTTTAAAGTGAAATTATATCAGTATACACTAACACCCTGCAAACAGTTCTTATAATCAGTATACACTAACACTGCCTGTAAGCTGTTCTTGTCAACAGACTATAATCAGTATACACTAACACTTCCTGTAAGCTGTTCTTGTCAACAGACTATAATCAGTATACACTAACACTGCCTGTAAGCTGTTCTTGTCAACAGACTATAATCAGTATACACTAACACTGCCTGTAAGCTGTTCTTGTCAACAGACTATAATCAGTATACACTAACACTTCCTGTAAGCTGTTCTTGTCAACAGACTATAATCAGTATACACTAACACTGCCTGTAAGCTGTTCTTGTCAACAGACTATAATCAGTATACACTAACACTTCCTGTAAGCTGTTCTTGTCAACAGACTATAATCAGTATACACTAACACTGCCTGTAAGCTGTTCTTGTCAACAGACTATAATCAGTATACACTAACACTGCCTGTAAGCTGTTCTTGTCAACAGACTATAATCAGTATACACTAACACTTCCTGTAAGCTGTTCTTGTCAACAGACTATAATCAGTATACACTAACACTTCCTGTAAGCTGTTCTTGTCAACAGACTATAATCAGTATACACTAACACTGCCTGTAAGCTGTTCTTGTCAACAGACTATAATCAGTATACACTAACACTGCCTGTAAGCTGTTCTTGTCAACAGACTATAATCAGTATACACTAACACTGTAAGCCTGTAAGCTGTTCTTGTCAACAGACTATAATCAGTATACACTAACACTGCCTGTAAGCTGTTCTTGTCAACAGACTATAATCAGTATACACTAACACTGCCTGTAAGCTGTTCTTGTCAACAGACTATAATCAGTAATCAGTATACACTAACACTGCCTGTAAGCTGTTCTTGTCAACAGACTATAATCAGTATACACTAACACTGCCTGTAAGCTGTTCTTGTCAACAGACTATAATCAGTATACACTAACACTTCCTGTAAGCTGTTCTTGTCAACAGACTATAATCAGTATACACTAACACTGCCTGTAAGCTGTTCTTGTCAACAGACTATAATCAGTATACACTAACACTGCCTGTAAGCTGTTCTTGTCAACAGACTATAATCAGTATACACTAACACTGCCTGTAAGCTGTTCTTGTCAACAGACTATAATCAGTATACACTAACACTTCCTGTAAGCTGTTCTTGTCAACAGACTATAATCAGTATACACTAACACTGCCTGTAAGCTGTTCTTGTCAACAGACTATAATCAGTATACACTAACACTTCCTGTAAGCTGTTCTTGTCAACAGACTATAATCAGTATACACTAACACTGCCTGTAAGCTGTTCTTGTCAACAGACTATAATCAGTATACACTAACACTGCCTGTAAGCTGTTCTTGTCAACAGACTATAATCATATCAGTATACACTAACACTGCCTGTAAAGCTGTTCTTGTCAACAGACTATAATCAGTATACACTAACACTGCCTGTAAGCTGTTCTTGTCAACAGACTATAATCAGTATACACTAACACTGCCTGTAAGCTGTTCTTGTCAACAGACTATAATCAGTATACACTAACACTGCCTGTAAGCTGTTCTTGTCAACAGACTATAATCAATATACACTAACACTGCCTGTAAGCTGTTCTTGTCAACAGACAAAGTGTTCACAGCATAGAATAACAAGATCAGAGTTTACAGATTGTTTATTGCGGGGTTTAGACTGAATATCATTCCAAGATTCATTGACAGGATTAGATAAATCTGATATTAGCTGAAGTAAATACACTCAATATTTACGTTGTTTTTTTCCACAAAAATACTTCGCGTACTGTCAGGAAATCTCTCACTGTCATGAAACAAACAACAGGATATGCTGAAAGAGACAGGTTGATATCTGTGACGTTTACATGGGTTTTTAACGAGATCTGGAAATGTAACGTCATATCTGTAGGTGACGTTGACGTTGACGTTGTGGTTGCTTGGATTAGACAATGGTAGACACTAGGACTTTGTCTTAGTTGAAAATATCGCCTGTAATTTTGTATAAAATCACCTTATATCATTGATGAATCCTTATTACTATTGCAAACCAACATGCACTATCTACACATACCTCCACTTGATGGTACCGGTGAAGGTCCGGGTTAGAATATTGATCTTCAGTAACCCATGCTTGTCGTAAGAGGCGACTAAGGGGATCGGGTGGTCAGACTCGCTGACTTGGTTGACACATGTCATCGGTTCCCAATTGCGCAGATCAATGCTCATGCTGTTGATCACTGGATTGTCTGGTCCAGACTCGATTATTTACAGACCGCCGCCATATAGCTGGTATATTGCTGAGTGCGGCGTAAAACTAAACTCACTCAATCCACTTGATGGGGATAAACAATTGGCATTATAAAGATGGTGGATCCAAACACATCGCGATAACTCTGTGTCGGAGCACACATGAGGGCGTACTTTACCTGGATTAAGAAATTCTGTATTATTACCTATCATTATTAACCCCAACACTCTGGTATGTCCATCCACGTGACACTGCACAGGGGAGGTAAAATCGTGGGAATTTGTTTAAAAAAGAATAAGCATTTGCTCAAAAAGACATCGTTTCAAATATATATATTATAATATTAATAAATCGTTATATTATAGATAAAAATAAAAGTCTTTGATTTCTAATTATAGGAAATTACCGATATCACACATTTCGACCGGAAGTAATCAAGGATACTGATATTGCAGCCTTAAATAGCCTTCATTGGAAACAGGTATAACTGAGTGGCTTCCCTTTGAACTGTCACACTATGTTTATCGTGTATCCCAGATACAATATTGGCCGAATCACTAAGGAATCCCTGCAGATGTAGTTTTTTACGTTACTGTTATATACTTTCAGACCCTGAGGCGGGAGGATCCGAAGCTAATACGGCGCTGACAAGTAAGTACACATGTATACACGTGTTTGATTCCACACATTGGTCCAGGGCTTAAGCCCATTTCTATGACAATGGGGCCGGTTGGGTAGCATAGTGGTTAAAGCGTTCGCTCGTCACGCCGAAGACCCATATGGTACAATATTTGAAGCCCATTTGTGGTGTCCCCCGTCTTGACATTACTGGAATATTGCTCAAAGCAGCGTAAAACTAAACTCACGAACTCTGTTTCAGCCGGCATCACGGCGGCCTCATCAATAGCCGGCATCATCGCCCTGCTGTTCTTCGTGGCGGTGTTCTTCATCCTCTGCAGGAGGTAATGTATACTCAGTTCAGGCAATATTATCACACCCTTGAAGATCCTGGGCAGACCTGGAACCTATGCTTGTATGCGTGTGAAGATCCGGGTAGAACTGGTCTTCAGGAACCTATGCTTGTATGCGTGTGAAGATCCGGGTAGAACTGGTCTTCAGGAACCTATGCTTATATGCGTGTGAAGATCCGGGTAGAACTGGTCTTCAGGAACCTATGCTTGTATGCGTGTGAAGATCCGGGTAGAACTGGTCTTCAGGAACCCATGTGTGTTCGCTTGTGAAGATCCGGATAGAGCTGGTGTTCAGGAACCTATGCTTGTGTGCTTGTGAAGATCCGGGTAGAACTGGTCTTCAGGAACCCATGCGTGTACGCTTGTGAAGATCCGGGTAGAGCTGGTGTTCAGGAACCTATGCTTGTGTGCTTGTGAAGATCCGGGTAGAACTGGTCTTCAGGGACCCATGCGTGTACGCTTGTGAAGATTCGGGTTAGAGCTGGTGTTCAGCAAACCATGTTCTGTATCCAAATTAAGATCCGGGTTAGATTTCGTCTTCACTGACCTATGCTTTTAGCCTAATGAAGATAAGGATTAAAATGCTCTTCGGCAACCCATGCTTGTACCCCTGTGGATATCCGGACTAGAACTGAGCTAACTGTGCCTGTTAGAAGGGGGCAAGCGGGACCCTGTGGCTGATTACAGAAATCGTTGCTCACGGTGTCAATGCCTGGCTCGATTATTGGCAGACCATTTACCTGGAATATCGCTGATAGCGGCGTTAAGTATGGTGCGCTATACCGTGTCGCCATATCGCAATATCGTGTCGCGCTATCGCTTTGTCGCGATATCGCCTAGATTTTTCAGGGCGATAAAGCGATGGCCCGAATGATCCACCATAGTTAAGCAATATCCAAATAATATTCACCAGGTAGAAGATACATGTCCACCAATCGTCATTTACCTTATATTTATATTTGAAGAATTCTTATAGGAAACCCGATGTTTTCATTTCTGATTTACCAGGCTGATGTATATCTCTCAAGCAGGAACAATCTGATTTTATGAACGCTTTAGTTGATTTTACGCTGACGTATTCGTCAAATGCATGATTTATAAATATTCTGACACTGGATCAAGTTGATTTGTTAGTTAACAGACTATTTTATATAATTTACATTCAATGCTGGTAGAACTATTAGTGTACATAATAGTGTCACTGTTGTTGTTATTCAGGCGTCGACGTGGACAGCGATCACGATCCAACTCCACCACTTCGACGGACACTTTGAAAATCCCCCGACCTTTTGTTTCATACGGACCCTTCATGAACTCCGAGATACTCGCAGACACACAATATGAGTTCAACAATTACAGCTACAGAAGCAAAAGCCATGCTTAGCGGTCTGCGAGAGGATTTGACGCGACCTTATCTGCTCTTGAACCTAAGGGCGAAGTCAGGGCGAGATTTTTCGACATCAGCGTGGGGAACGTTTATTCAGAACTGGGATGGACACTACCCATTTCGATACCCGAGTTTTCGTATTTGGGATGTTGATCATGATCATTGAGTGTTGTTGTGAAACAACTCATTTTGAAACAACAATACTCAACTCAAATCTATGCACATCTTGGATCGCACGTCCATTACTTCTTTAAGCCCATTTCTGGTGTCCCCCGCCGTGATATTGCTGGAATATTGCTAAAAGCGGCGTAAAACTTAACTCAGTCAGTCAGTCCATTACTTCTAACTTTAAAATGGCGGTGGGGGCGGTTATGAATATTTATGAATTCACGACAACATTAAATATATTGCGCACACTTGTATTATTGTGAATGTGACACTATGCATCAGGGGTAGGCGCTGAGTTGTGACCCTTTGTCGTGCAGGATCCAGTCATCTTGGAGTCGATTCACAGAACCACCTTGATGGTGGTTGACAGTACTGTACAACTTGTGGTGCCGTTGGTGTGAAAAAAATGAGAGAATGGTGTCGTATGGGCATGGTAGAGTTTGTTGAAATCCAAAGTAGTGCAGTAATAGAAGTATTTCTTGCTAGTGAGACAGTTTATGTTGACGTTCCGAGACTGTCTTGTTGGCGTCATTTTGTCAAGCTCTGCTAAATACTCGGGATGTCCCAAAAGGAATCCTCTATTCCTGTATCACGTCATTCATGTGTCGAAACTGACCTACAAACGAAAGTGTTTCGCAACATGTACACGTTTGTTTGTGACATCGAAGTTACACTCAAAACATTTTTTATAAATATTTACGTTGTTTTGTGCAAAATAACCTCAAAGTGTCAGGTGTATAGTTTCTTCTGCACGTCAGTGTATATTTAGATTCATTCTAGTTGCACGTCTCTCAAGACGTTTTGAAATATGTTTACCCTGAAGAAGTAGAGGTAAATACCAGTACACCTATTCGACTATTGACGGAGAAATCCAACTGAACTGGGGTAAAAAAGAAACTATACCTCTTAATTGATATTGCTGCATGAATTGATGTACACAAAACATGACTGTACTAGCTTGCTCAGCGAGTAGTTTCATTTAAACTTTCGCATAACACGTAAATACTCAAGGGAATTTTGGACACCTTATCTTTGAGTGCAAATTGGCATTTTGGAACAACGTTACATCTCAGACGAGGTAGGAATATATGGTTATACATCTATTTCATGTCTAGAACTTTATGGATCAAGATTATTTTGCTCAAAGTTACAGGACCATAGATAAAGATTTACAAAATGAGTTATGGTAAACTGGCATTACAAAATGTAATACAGTTCTTTCTACGTTTGCATAAAAGTAAACTCGGCATATTTTCTCAGCCCATCTGCACATCATGTATTATATGGTATTTATACTTATTCTAATAAACCTATTTGTACAGATATCATATACGTTTTTGTTTTGTGTTTGGAAATCCTTGTGTTTAAATCACTTCACACAACCCTTAATGACAATGATTCTTTCCTGAACTCACCTTTGTTTCCTCTGGCCCAAACTGTAGGAAAAAGACAGACAACATATGTCACTCTTTGTTTTCAATTTCCGTAGTCACATCACACTAGTCGTTTTACGCTGCATCAACACGATTGTTTGTTATTGTTGTACGCCGTACTCAGCAATGTTCCAGCTATATGGCGGCGGTCTGTAATAATTGAGTCCGGACCATACAATCCAGTGTTCAACATGAGCATCGATCTACGCAATCTGCTCAAATATTTTCTATTCTCCATTAAAATGATCAACCTCATAATGATTGGGGGGGGTTGTTGTGAAGGGAGGAGTAGAGAACTTTATATTCCGCTATTATGACGGCCGTATTCTAATCTGATAGGATAATAGACACAGTTATTTTCAGGTAATATCAAAGGTGTTTAAATGACGTAAAAGCGTAACTGTTTTATAACATGAATGCCGCTTTACGGTTCACAAACGAAAATATTTTGTTGATTATTTTAATGGAGAACAGAAAATATTTTAGCAGTGTACTTTGAATGACGTGAGAGCCCTGGCCTGTCTTAAGTTGCGGTACAGAGAGCGTGGTTGTTCATTTACCTTTACCACGTTTCTCGAGTAATAAAGTAACATTGTAACTTTAACTAAGTACTACTTGCATGAGCACTGACAACTGAATACGTTGGGATGAACGTCGCTGTAGAACATCACACACTTCTGATGGACACATGAATTCATGTACCACTACTTCATGTATGAGCGAGGTACGCTGTTGGTGTCAAACAGGCCGAGGTACTCAACAGCGTTCAGTGCTGATCCAGATACACGCACGTGTATTAGCCAAAAAAAGGTATCTCTGCATTGTTAAAATTATTTTTTAGTTTGAAATAAATAACAATAAGTTTCCATGTGTTTAATAGGTGGATACTGAAATCACAGGAAGCATGTTTAATGTCCGTGACAATGACGTTAGGAGTCCAAATGCGGGGCAGGGGTCAGCAATAATGTCATAACGTCAATAACATGTATACCCACTGTGATTAGCGAGAACAACATCGCATCTCGAGCGCATAGACTTATGGAATATGGTATGGAAGGCTTGCGAAATGGCTACACATATTCCCTAACTACTTATCAACCAAACAATGAAAGTTAGCGGATTCTATAGCGGATTTGGTACACAACGTAGACGTTGATCCCCTTCATCCCACACGTCTCTATAGTGGAGAGATTCGCCAGGCAGTACTGGAACACTGTTATGTTGAAGAAAAGCCACAGCAAAACTAGTCGTGTTGAGGCGGGCATTATCCTGTCAGAATGTCAATTTTGGCTCATGACGTTGACGAAACGGTATTGTCACTGGTCAGAGAGTGTAATCACAGTAGCTAAATCTCGTGAAATTGGCCTTAATAACAACTAATGGAGTTTTTGACGTGCACTGATTCAGCATAAAATCTCGGATCCGTTAATCTTGGATTCCTTACCGTGAGCAGGTTGATGGACATGATTTCGGTGCCACCTTTGACGGTTTTCTCGATTATGTTGCTTTATGATCCACTCTTTAAATAAAACAAACGCATAAACCATTTTAGAAGAAATTATTGCGTTAGTTTAAGAGCAATTATTTCATGTAAGTTCAATAATTTAAAGGTGTTAATTCACACGTCTATAGACAAAGAGTTCGCCAACACAAGATGGCGTCAAAATCAGTACTTTGTATGGCCACCATTGGCAGCAATTACTGCTCGGCACCGTCTCGGCACAGACTGGATGAGTCGACTAAAGTCACTCTTGCGAAATTCTTCCCCTATGTTCCTGCAATGGTCAGTTGTGGAAGTGTCTGAGGCGCGCTTTTGGCGCAGACGTACACGTCGATCGACTTCATCCCATAGGTTTGCTGTTGGGTTTAGATCTGGTGATCGGGAAGGACATGGCAAGACACTAACGTTAGAATTGGCAAGGTAGCTGAAACAACTCCCCTTGTCGGTCCATAATCGGAAGCATGCGACGTGCAAGGACTTCGTTGATGTACCGATTTGCTGTTACATTCCCCTGAACCACCACTAAATGAGATCTTTGTGTGCTCGATATCTCACCCCACACCATGACACTGTCTCCACTGAATCTGTTGATCTGTCGAATACATTCAGGGGCAAAACGTTGATTTCTCCGACGGTAAACACGCTGTCCTCCATCTCGCCGGTGAAGAAGAAATCGTGATGCATCACTGAACCAGATTCGCCTCCAGTTTATACGGTTCCAGTTCCGGACTCAACGACAGGACCTCAAGCGTATCTCAAACAGGGCGCCACAACTGGGTTGTTGGTTAAATCCCCACTTCACGCAATCGATTCCTGACAGTTTGGTCGGAAATTCTTCTCAAACCAGGAATGCGTTGAGCAGTCTCCACGGCTGTGGCAAGACGATGGCGCAAGTGACCCGGGCTCGATTCCCTAAATGGGTACAATTTGTAAAGCCCATTTCCGGTGTCCCCCCCGCGATATTGCTGGAATATTGCTAAAAGCGACGTAAAAGAATACTCACCCACTCACGTATCAAATACTTCACGTCATGGGCAACATCCAGCAGGGGTGTCTTGTTATGAGGCAGTGTTTTACGTTGTGCAAGAGTGTGTAAACTGGTAATTAGTATACCTGTTCTGTAAGGGGTAGTTCGTCACGCCGAAGACCCGGGTTCGAATCCCCACATGGGTACAATGTGTGAAGCCCATTTCTGGTGTCCCCGGCCGTGATGTTGCTGGAATATTGCTAAAAGCGGCGTAAAACCAAACTCAGTCAGTCAGTAAGGGGTAGTGATGTGCTATATTCAGCCGCGGTATATTTAGAAAGAGTTGTCATGGCTTCCACCTTGGCTTACCCACAGAATATTATAGAATTTTCTAGCAATTTATTTGTGTGTATATATAGGGAGCAAGTTATTGCCTCTCATCTCAGAGTACACCTCAAGTTACTGGAACACCAGTATTGTGTGATGACCATAGTACCCACAGGCCCTCGTGTCTTTGCGGGGATTAAAGATTTTAATAAAATAATGTTTTTGAGATGGTAGTGTAGCGATCGGCAAAGCAGTCGGATGGGGTGTACCGAAGTGTCCGGCCTTGTCATAATGAATTGTACTGTGAAGCATTTAGTGTCGGGGGTCATCTCAAATTTCTAATAGTATATATATTTTTTTAAATCTTTAATCCTCGCAGACACAAGGGCCTGTGCATATACCCAGTCCAGGTCTTTGGGTACAAGGTGGATTACTGTTACTGATGGTGATTATCACTGTTTCTATAGCTATAATCACTGTTCTTGTATTATATTACCTTTACATTTGCAAAACCGCCTCCGTGGTGTGGTGGTTAGAGCGTCCGCCCGGAGAGCGGAAGGTCGCGGGTTCGATCCCCGACCGCGTCATACCAAAAGACGTTAAAATATGGTACTTGTTGGTCCCTGCCTGGCGCTCGGCATTAATGGGTATAACAAGGACTGGTCGGCTCGGAGTCAGTATAATGTGTCTGAGTGGGGTATTCATGCTTCACTGCGGCATGGTATCTCGGTGGGCTAGCACTATAAAACCAGCTTCAGTCTGGGCTAGTACAAGCAGCCGCACATACACATACACGCATGCACGTGGTCATATGAGCGAAATATTCTCAAGAACGACGTTAAACCCAATTTCACCTCACCTACATTTGCAAAACAATTCATTACTGATATAGTTATACCTTTGTATTGTTTTGTGAACTTAGTTAATATTGGAAACTATTTGTTAATTACAGCACATATCTTGTTGGTTTTCATCTCGTTATTCTACTGACCGATTCCTGGTAAACTATACAGTGTCACCTTGGCAACTAACATGCAACAGTATGCCATTGCCTGACAGTTTAGAGGAATGGATGGCGTCAACAGGTACATGTCGACAGGAGTGAGTGAATTTAGTTTTATCATCCAAAACTGTGTTCCACAGGAGATATTGCTTGTGTGAGATCATACGATATCTCCTAGGAAATATCGTTTTGAAAGTAGATTTTGCACAATGCCCTGACAATGCTCTGACGTCATGAACTTGATGACGTCACAATGCTATGACATCGCTGCACTGCGAGTCTAATGGTAGTACAGTTTTCAGAAATGTACATTTTTCATTTAAATCTAATGAAGAGTGATTTTTTATGATAACTAGAATCTCATCCTCGTGTCTACCGATATCAAATATATCAATACTCGTTGATAAAAGTAAAAATATCCTCGGCAAGCCTCGGATATTTGTAACTTTTATCAACGAGTGCTGATATATTTGATATCAGTTGACACTTGGGTGAGATTCTCGATTTACGCCACTTTTAGCAATATTCCAGCAATATCAGGGCGTGTGACACCAGAAATAGGCTTCACACATTGTACCAGTGTAGGGAGTCGAACCCGGGTCTTCGGCGTGACGAGCGAATGCTCGAACCACTAGGCTACCCCACCGCCCCTTGCCGGTAAGAAAGGCGAAAAAGAACGTGCATGTGACTAAAATAGGAACACAGCAACGATACAAGTCTCTAATTCATTCTGCTATGACCCATCCCGCGTTGAGAAACATTTCTGTACATTCCATCGTGACTCCACCCGCGTGGATTCATGTGTCGGATTGTTCCAAACAACATAGCTTTCTTTAGAAACACACAATACCAACATACAATAAGATTAAAAATATATACAGGCTTGTCACACCCAGCTCGGAGACTCTCCTATCACGACTTCCTCGTCTTAAAGCTCTTCTCTCAAAACACTGGGGTGTAAAGATTCCGTCATCCCGCCAACCTATTGTCCGCCATCTTGCTACATGCCGTGTGAACAGAGCGGAAGCAGGGAGACATGTTGAGCCTAGTGCCGGGTAAATAAAAAGTTGGGTGGGTCTTTAGACGGAATGTGATTCTCGCCACACTGCATCAGGCGCTGGAAATAGTTCCAGCATGAGACGGGTCTGTGGGTATAAGAGACGTGAAGCTTAATCATGTGTACTGTGATATGACAGAATCTTTCATTATCAAGGTAAGGGTGATGCAGTATGAGTTTATCTTAAAACATTAACACTTGTCTGTCATAGTAATATAGCAATACATTATTAAACTTCTTTGTAAAGTTTCTGTATTGAAGTATACGTTTAAACTGTTCTGAAAAGTGGAAATATTTGGCTATTTCCACTTTCACAAATATTTGAGGTATTTAACTGCATGTTAGATATATGGTGGAGGTAAAACCTGAGCAACATTTTATCTCAGGCGTTCAAAACCCGATTGAAATCAGCTAGCACCTGCTGACATATCTAGAAATGCTATTAATCTTACGCCAAGCTTCCGTGCACTTACACTCATACTTTATCCATATTAACTAGTGCTGTACAAACAGTGTGTACAAATCTTTAAATACGTTGGTTGCTTTTCTCATTCGTGTAATTAGACATATGTGAATTAAATATGATATTTATGACCTATTTATCTATAGCAAAGTACCAGGAATAGCTGGTATCAATATAAGTGTTGATCGCCAAAGGGATGATAGTTTGCTCGACGTTTTGAGTGTTACTTGTCTCGGATAAAACGAGAATTCCTTCAATTTCTCTAAATCTTCAATCTGGTTCGCTAACCCCATAACGTTATGAGTTACTTGTAAGTTAGCTGATTCTGAATTGAGTGTCTCCTCATTATCACGGACCCTGCTTATCCAGCAGCCCCTAATGATTCGATAATAAAAAGAAACGCTACCTAATTTATTTCCTAACTTGTTGTTTCTTTGTTGTTTTTCAGATGTATCTATATGTTGTGGTTGTCTTGGGTTTCTTGCCGAGTGCACAGCCGCAGAGTAAGTAGTGCCATAACATAGGGAAATAATTCATCTATGTAGATATGTCAAGTTTTTCCATATGTAATACTGCTGTCTTTGACTAGGGCTTGAGTGGTTCGGTGGTTCCGTGGAATTCTTACCTTAAACTCTACCGTTGGTCATTGGTCACAAGCTCCTCGGTCGATGACGGTCACGAAGGATGGGGTCGTAACATTGATCAAATGCTAAATTATTTTCCCAGTAGACTAAACGTGTCTCGACATTTTTTAAAGTTTATTTTTGTTAATGTTTGCTTGAATATTGATTAGATATTTTATACCTACTTCCGTGTTGATAAATACATACAGACAGCGATACTGATTATGAACATGTCATTGAGCAAATATGCAGGTAATTGTTGAGTCAATTTGGAGTAATTGACTTGAGTAGCGGCATCGCCGCATAGTAGTTTTGCAGCTATTCGCGGCAGTGTTCTATATTGTTTGAATTCAGCATACTCATCATCATGATTGTCGTCGTTGTCGTATTCACCATCATCATGATTGTCGTCGTTGTCGTATTCACCATCATCATCATGATTGTCGTCGTTGTCGTATTCACCATCATCATCATTGTCGTCGTTGTCGTATTCACCATCATCATCATTGTCGTCGTTGTCGTATTCACCATCATCATGATTGTCGTCGTTGTCGTATTCACCATCATCATCATTGTCGTCGTTGTCGTATTCACCATCATCATCATTGTCGTCGTTGTCGTATTGCCATCGTTGCCGTCGTTGTCGTATTCACCATCATCATGATTGTCGTCGTTGTCGTATTCACCATCATCATGATTGCCGTCGTTGTCGTATTCACCATCATCATGATTGTCGTCGTTGTCGTATTCACCATCATCATCATTGTCGTCGTTGTCGTATTCACCATCATCATGATTGCCGTCGTTGTCGTATTCACCATCATCATCATTGTCGTCGTTGTCGTATTCACCATCATCATCATTGTCGTCGTTGTCGTATTCACCATCATCATCATTGTCGTCGTTGTCGTATTCACCATCATAATCATTAATAAGTATCATCATTTAAAATATACATATCAATAATTCAGCTTATATTGATGGCGTAGGCATAGCCTAGTGGTTAAAGCGTTCGCTCGTCACACCGAAGACCCGGGTTCGATTTCCTACATGGCTACTGGGTGTGAAACCCATTTCTGGTGTCCCCGCCGTGATATTGCTGGAATATTGCAAAAGCGGCGTAAAACCAACCTCACTTGCTCTTATATTCCTGCCAAATTTTCCGTATTCAAAACAATGCATGAATTCAGTTCCATGACGTCAGCAGATTAGAAAAGTAATCAAGCACTAATCACTATATCAAGCAATACATAAAGGCTATATTTCCCCACTCAGGAGTGACTGAGTTAGTTTTACGCCGCAGTCAGCAATATTCCAGCTATATGGCGGCGGTCTGTAAATAATCGAGTTTGGACCAGACAATCCAGTGATCAACAGCATGAACATCGATCTGCGCAATTGGGAACCGATGACATGTGTCATGCTACTCTGACCACCCGATCCCGTTAGTCGCCTCTTACGACAAGCATGGGTTGCTGAAGATGAATATTCTAATCCGGACCTTCACTGGTACCACTCAGGATGATACTGACCTATATTACGTGATGCAAAAAGGCACTGTTGACCAATCAAATCTATCCATACAGATACGACAATAACATATTGTTTGTATACGTGTCACGTTTATCATCTGATCTGGTGATAAGAAGAATTCTAGATACCAATGTCAACAACCTCTCGGCAGTATTTCTGCCGGGTCTTGACGATCGTGCCGCCAACAATACACCATGCTGTAGTACGTCTTTCCGCAGTAGGCCCTATTCCCTGAACAAACACCGCCAGCCGTGTGTACCCCCCTCTAGCCTAGTCGTGGGGGGAGGCGATGGGGTATGCCACCCTCACACACAATAGCAGCTACCTCTATCTAAATTCCCTTGCTGTAATAGTTAAATGGTGATAAATTGCTACCTGTAGGAAATACCTGAAAAGACACTTAATTGCAAATTTGCGGATATACAAAAAGTGCTTTCAATTACGTGCTTTCCAAAGTGACGGTTTTTCGTCAGTCTTGTGAGATAAGTGTATGACACGAGTCACGTGGCTTTACAAGCAATTAAAAACTGCATCGTTGTTTGAGTATCTCGGAGTGATATAGAGGCTATTTACTGCGAGTCATTAAGCGTTCATTCACTTCCGTTTTACAGGTAAATTGTCAACCATTTCAGCTTATCTGTACTTTCTAGAAAATGTCAAATAAAAATATCCCTCGGTTCGTCTACCAAAATGGTGGCGGTCTGTAAGTAATTGAATCTGGATCAGACAATCCAGTGACCAAAATGAATCGATCACACGCCGAGGTAGATATCTTTTTGAACAAATATATGTCAGGGTAGAGACTGCGATCTGGTAGAATCGGAGATTCTACCAGTAGAGATTGCGATCGGAGTCTCTACTGGTAGAGACTACGATTATATGGAATAACCTATGCAAGCAAGTGCAAGCTTGTTTTCCTATTATTTGCCAGTTATAACTGAACTTATTTAGTGTTATCTTGTTAACTTTATTTGTTAAGTCTGTTTTCGAGTAAGGTATTTTGTTTTGGTTTTTTGAGTGGAGTCCAAATTTGGCAGCTTGGTCTCATGATGTAAATACAGTGTTACAAACCATTTTTATTTTGTATTTTGATATTGTTTACAGTGAGGTGTTAAATGTTTGTTATCAAAGTCTCAGTTAAAAGTAGGAACTTCATTCAGATGTATTTCAAAACTTATTATCAGTAATTGTTATAAAACCACTGCTTTCCAAAGAGGTGGGGAAATGACCAGGTGGGGATATGGCAGATGGGGTAATGACCAGGTGGGGATATGGCAGATGGGGTAATGACCTGGTGGGGAATTGCCCTACACCTATCCTCCCAAAATGCCGACATGCCAAGACACCTATAGCTTATAACAACAAACCAATTCTGTATTTCCTGGAGCAGTGTTACAATAGTGTTACCCACCGATCACAGTAGAAAACTGACTCAGTTTGTAGTGCGATGACTATGGTTGTATGACGTTAAGAAGTCCGGCCATATGAAAGATTCTGGCATACAATCTTCAAGATAGGTATCAATAACACAATGCCAATATCTGGTGTAACCTCCGCCAACTGCAATAGCACCCCAACCCTCATGGACTATATCAGACGTTGAATTTGACGTTGAGGTATTGCGTTCCATTCATATAAGAGTGAGTGAGTTGGGCTTTACGCCGCTTTTAGCAATATTCCAGCAATATCACCGCAGCAATACGGCAAGATTTTGTACTGGAATCGAACTCTCTTTCTTGTTCGAATGCGGCAAGATAATGTACTGGAATATCTCTCTTTCTTATTCTGCGACCCACGACCAAGACCGTCATTCTAGGGACGACCACCGTCTATAGGACGACCACGTCACCCATTGTATAAATAGAAAAGTCTGAAAAGTATTTCCAAAATTCATGGTTTAATAATTTGTGACGTATTTATTACTGATGAGGCTGTTTATTCAGCTGACAAAGACCCTTTTACACATACACGTTCTGTGTTTATTTCAGCGGAGGCCATTTATCACGGATGTACACACAACAGTCAATGCCCTGACAACGCCAGTTGTTTACCTTATGGTTGCCGTGGTTACGTCTGTCTGTGTCACATGGGGTACGTTGTGTCACGTACCAGGTTTTCGTGCCTCACAGGTAAGACATGTACACAGAGCCTTACACGTGCCTAACAGGTAGGTAAGACATGTACACAGAGCCCTTACACTTGCCTTGCAGGTAAGACATGTACACAGAGACCTTACACTTGCCTTGCAGGTAAGACATGCATTGACAGAGAATTACAAGTGCCCACAGGTAAGACATGTATTGACAGAGAATTACACATGCCTCACAGGTAAGACATGTATTCACAGAGCCTTTACACGTGCCTCACAAGACGTGTACACAGAGCCTTACATATGCCTCATAGGTAAGACATGTATTGACAGAGCCTCACACGTGCCTCACAGGTAAGACATGTACCCAGAGCCTTACACGTGCCTCACAGGTAAGACATGTACACAGAGCCTTACACTTGCCTCACAGGTAAGACATGTACACAGAGCCTTACACGTGCCTCACAGGTAAGACATGTACACTGAGCCTTACACGTGCCTCACAGGTAAGACATGTACACAGAGCCTTACACTTGCCTCACAGATAGGTAAGACATGTACACAGAGCCTTACACTTGCCTCACAGGTAGGCAAGACATGTACACAGAGCCTTACACGTGCCTCACAGATAGGTAAGACATGTACACAGAGCCTTACACTTGCCTCACAGGTAAGGCATGTACACAGGGCCGTACACGTGCCTCACAAGTAGGTAAGACATGTACACAGAGCCTTACACGTGCCTAACAGGTAAGACATGTACACAGAGCCTTACACGTGCCTCACAGGTAGGCAAGACATGTAGACAGAGCCCTTACATGTGCCTCACAGGTAGGCAAGACATGTATACAGAGCCTTACACGTGCCTAACAGGTAAGACATGTACACAGAGCCTTACACGTGCCTCACAGGTAAGACATGTACACAGAGCCTTACACGTGCCTCACAGGTAAGACATGTACACAGAGCCTTTACACGTGCCTAACAGGTAAGACATGTACACAGAGCCCTTACATGTGCCTTACAGGTAAGACATGTACACAGAGCCTTACACGTGCCTCACAGGTAAGACATGTATTGACAGACCCTTTACACGTGCATGGTATAACCGTTTACACAACAAAGTACTTCACTTAACCTTGGTTGTGGAGAGGATTTGACGATTTACTTTTTAAAGACCTAATCAAATAATGATAATATTTTATATTGTTATTCTCTGACATAATACCGGGGGATACTCTATTCGACAATGAAATTGCTATGGATCAGTTCTACTTGTTTTTTGCAAAACAGTTATTTGTTAAATACTTTGCGCTGTGTAGAGTCGCGTTCCATAGAATCCAATAATCCCGGGGTCAAATATAAAAGTGGTGAAAACGTTTAACTTAACTCCGTTACAACACACTGTTATTGTAGATCGATGTTCATGCTGTTGATCACTGGATTGTCTAGTCCAGACCCAGCTATTTACACACCGCCCCCATATAGCCGGAATATTGCTGAGTGTAGCGTGAATCAAGCAAAGAAATCAAACTGTTATTTCACTTTCAGCGGGCAACGTGAGTGACACGTGCGACAGCACTGTGAAATGTCTTGGCGGGGTGTACGCCTCATGTGTCAGTGGACGATGTGAGTGCTTGTCGATTGCACGAGTAACAGAAATGAACACCTGTGTGGCAGCACGGAGTGCAAGGGTCGCCGGGGCCACGTGCTCTCCGTCGGACACGTGCCCCACGCACGCCTCGTGCACCGGGGGCACCTGTCAGTGCGATGCAGGTTATCGCCAGAGAAGCAGCGAGGAATACTGGGTGAATCCGGAAAGCAGAGAGGAATGCGTTGAGCTGGACTATTCCTTGAGTGAGTAAAATGTTTAGTCAAGTCAGCAATATTTCAGCCACATTGGCTATTCCTTTGTGAGGCAATAATTATGTTTTACAGTTACTTAAAATAACGATTTCTTCTCATGGAAAAGGTAATTGATGGTGTGTCTTTTGCAAGTTTGTTTCTTGGCTGACCATGCAGCACAAACTCAACATGGTTTTAAATATAATTAAGTGCGATGTTCAGTTATATGTTTTCTTAAACTGGTGTACAGATGTCTAACTTCAATTTCAGAGTCTTGCAATGGTGTGCCGTTATCTACAACAACGTCTACACCTACAACATCTACTCCTGCAACTACCACAACAACCACAACTACTCCATCTACCACAACTACAACACCCACGACTACCACAACTACCACAACACCACAACAACAACACCTACTACGACGACACCACCTACAACAACTACCACACCTACAACGACAACTACTACTACGACAACGACAACACCGTCAGTTACAACCCAAAGTTCTCCTACAACCACCACTACAACTACGATGAAGCCAACCTCGACATCTGCCACTGGTAATACGCGTAAAACCTCTCTCACCTTATTGGGTTCCGCGACGGGATAGATTACCCGCGCTGGAATCTATGAAAGTTGCTTTGTATTCTACAATACTATGTCCTTATAACCACAGCCAATAAATGCACAGGGCGGTGAGGTAGCCTTGCGGTCAAGGCGTTCTTTTGTTTCGGATTCGATTCCCCATATGGGTAAAATGTGTGAAGCCCATTCCTGGTGTCCACTGCCGTGATATTGCCGGAATATTGCTGAAAGCGGCGTAAAACCATACTCACTCGCTCACTACAGCAGCATCAACGACCACCTACAACATGCTTGTCACAAGAAATTGACGTGTGAGTGAGTGAGTTTGGTTTTACGCCGCTTTTAGCAATATTTCAGCAACAACACGGCGGGGACACCAGAAATGGGCTTCACACATTGTACCCATGTGGGGAATCGAACCCGGGTCATCGGCGTGATGAGCCAACGCTTTAGCCACTAGGCTACCCCACCGCCCCCAATTGACGTATGATTATACTGTGGGTATAATATACAACCAGTCTCTGGTCCTGCTGTTAACACTGGTTGGTCTGGCCGTGGTTCGGTAAAATGTACAACCAGTCTCTGGTCCTGCTGTTAACACTGGTTGGTCTGGCCGTGGTTCGGTATGATGTACAACCAGTCTCTGGTCCTGCTGTTAACACTGGTTGGTCTGGCCGTGGTTCAGTCTCTGGTCCTGCCGTTAACACTGGTTGGTCTGGCCGTGGTTCGGTAAAATGTACAACCAGTCTCTGGTCCTGCCGTTAACACTGGTTGGTCTGGCCGTGGTTCGGTAAAATGTACAACCAGTCTCTGGTCCTGCCGTTAACACTGGTTGGTCTGGCCGTGGTTCGGTAAAATGTACAACCAGTCTCTGGTCCTGCCGTTAACACTGGTTGGTCTGGCCGTGGTTGGGTAAAATGTACAACCAGTCTCTGGTCCTGCTGTTAACACTGGTTGGTCTGGCCGTGGTTCGGTAAAATGTACAACCAGTCTCTGGTCCTGCCGTTAACACTGGTTGGTTGGTCTGGCCGTGGTTCGGTGGTTCGGTAAAATGTACAACCAGTCTCTGGTCCTGCCGTTAACACTGGTTGGTCTGGCCGTGGTTCGGTAAAATGTACAACCAGTCTCTGGTCCTGCCGTTAACACTGGTTGGTCTGGCCGTGGTTCGGTAAAATGTACAACCAGTCTCTGGTCCTGCTGTTAACACTGGTTGGTCTGGCCGTGGTTCGGTCCTGCCGTTAAATGTACAACCAGTCTCTGGTCTGCACGTTAACACTGGTTGGTCTGGCCGTGGTTGGGTAAAATGTACAACCAGTCTCTGGTCCTGCTGTTAACACTGGTTGGTCTGGCCGTGGTTCGGTAAAATGTACAACCAGTCTCTGGTCCTGCCGTTAACACTGGTTGGTCTGGCCGTGGTTCGGTAAAATGTACAACCAGTCTCTGGTCCTGCCGTTAACACTGGTTGGTCTGGCCGTGGTTCGGTAAAATGTACAACCAGTCTCTGGTCCTGCTGTTAACACTGGTTGGTCTGGCCGTGGTTCAGTCTCTGGTCCTGCCGTTAACACTGGTTGGTCTGGCCGTGGTTGGGTAAAATGTACAACCAGTCTCTGGTCCTGCCGTTAACACTGGTTGGTCTGGCCGTGGTTGGGTAAAATGTACAACCAGTCTCTGGTCCTGCCGTTAACACTGGTTGGTCTGGCCGTGGTCAAGTCTCTGGTCCTGCCGTTAACACTGGTTGGTCTGGCCGTGGTTGGGTAAAATGTACAACCAGTCTCTGGTCCTGCCGTTAACACTGGTTGGTCTGGCCGTGGTTCGGTAAAATGTACAACCAGTCTCTGGTCCTGCCGTTAACACTGGTTGGTCTGGCCGTGGTTCGGTTTAATGTACAACCAGTCTCTGGTCCTGCCGTTAACACTGGTTGGTCTGGCCGTGGTTCGGTAAAATGTACAACCAGTCTCTGGTCCTGCCGTTAACACTGGTTGGTCTGGCCGTGGTTCGGTAAAATGTACAACCAGTCTCTGGTCCTGCCGTTAACACTGGTTGGTCTGGCCGTGGTTCGGTAAAATGTACAACCAGTCTCTGGTCCTGCCGTTAACACTGGTTGGTCTGGCCGTGGTTCGGTAAAATGTACAACCAGTCTCTGGTCCTGCCGTTAACACTGGTTGGTCTGGCCGTGGTTCGGTAAAATGTACAACCAGTCTCTGGTCCTGCCGTTAACACTGGTTGGTCTGGCCGTGGTTCGGTAAAATGTACAACCAGTCTCTGGTCCTGCCGTTAACACTGGTTGGTCTGGCCGTGGTTCGGTAAAATGTACAACCAGTCTCTGGTCCTGCCGTTAACACTGGTTGGTCTGGCCGTGGTTCGGTAAAATGTACAACCAGTCTCTGGTCCTGCCGTTAACACTGGTTGGTCTGGCCGTGGTTCGGTAAAATCTCTGGTCCTGCCGTTACAACCAGTGGTCTCTGGTCCCAGTCTCTGCCGTTAACACTGGTTGGTCTGGCCGTGGTTCGTTCAGTGTACAACCAGTCTCTGGTCCTGCCGTTAACACTGGTTGGTCTGGCCGTGGTTCGGTCAAATGTACAACCAGTCTCTGGTCCTGCCGTTAACACTGGTTGGTCTGGCCGTGGTTCGGTAAAATGTACAACCAGTCTCTGGTCCTGCCGTTAACACTGGTTGGTCTGGCCGTGGTTGGGTAAAATGTACAACCAGTCTCTGGTCCTGCCGTTAACACTGGTTGGTCTGGCCGTGGTTCGGTAAAATGTACAACCAGTCTCTGGTCCTGCCGTTAACACTGGTTGGTCTGGCCGTGGTTCGGTAAAATGTACAACCAGTCTCTGGTCCTGCCGTTAACAACACTGGTTGGTCTGGCCGTGGTTCGGTAAAATGTACAACCAGTCTCTGGTCCTGCCGTTAACACTGGTCTCTGGTCCTGGCCGTTGGTCTGGCCGTGGTTCGGTCAAATGTACAACCAGTCTCTGGTCCTGCCGTTAACACTGGTTGGTCTGGCCGTGGTTCGGTAAAATGTACAACCAGTCTCTGGTCCTGCTGTTAACACTGGTTGGTCTGGCCGTGGTTCGGTAAAATGTACAACCAGTCTCTGGTCCTGCCGTTAACACTGGTTGGTCTGGCCGTGGTTCGGTCAAATGTACAACCAGTCTCTGGTCCTGCTGTTAACACTGGTTGGTCTGGTTCGGTCAAATGTACAACCAGTCTCTGGTCCTGCCGTTAACACTTGTTGGCCTGGCCGTGGTTCGGTAAAATGTACAACCAGTCTCTGGTCCTGGTTGGTCTGGCCGTGGTTCGGTAAAATGTACAACCAGTCTCTGGTCCTGCCGTTAACACTTGTTGGTCTGGCCGTGGTTCGGTAAAATGTACAACCAGTCTCTGGTCCTGCCGTTAACACTGGTTGGTCTGGCCGTGGTTCGGTAAAATGTACAACCAGTCTCTGCCGTCCTGCTGTTAACACTGGTTGGTCTGGCCGTGGTTCGGTAAAATGTACAACCAGTCTCTGGTCCTGCCGTTAACACTGGTTGGTCTGGCCGTGGTTCGGTAAAATGTACAACCAGTCTCTGGTCCTGCCGTTAACACTGGTTGGTCTGGCCGTGGTTCGGTAAAATGTACAACCAGTCTCTGGTCCTGCTGTTAACACTGGTTGGTCTGGCCGTGGTTCGGTTTAATGTACAACCAGTCTCTGGTCCTGCCGTTAACACTGGTTGGTCTGGCCGTGGTTCGGTATGATGTACAACCAGTCTCTGGTCCTGCCGTTAACACTGGTTGGTCTGGCCGTGGTTCGACAAGTTTACATTGATTCATTGTTGCGTTTGAGTGCTTTTTATTTTTAAAAATGCCATCCTCCATCTTAATTCGTAAATATAATGTTTGCACCTTAAATACTGCGAGCATAGCCCCGTAGACCCAACGTATTTCTATGTCTTCAATTCCTTGTGTTACAGTCAAGCCAATACTGGACACGTGCACATCCCCCAGTGAGTGTCCAGACAACGCCAGCTGCCGACCTAATGGGTGTCGAGGGGTAACCTGTCTTTGTAACGTAGGGTACGTCCCTGCTCCGGATCTAACCATCTGCTTGAAAGGTGAGTCAATTATTAGAGGTATTCGAACGTGCGCCAACATTTATATTGACGCTGATAATGAGATTCATTTTGCATTGCATAACAGTTATTATTATTGAGGATGATACGATAGTCTGGTGCATTGTGTGTTTTCATGCAATGATGCTATACACGGTGTGCTATGCTCGCGGTATGTAAGGTGCAAACAGTTCATGTGCAATGGTATATTTGCTTATGTATCGATACAAAAAGATACACTTGCTGAAATCCTGTAATTTGTCAGCCAGGTATAACGGTTTTATTCCTTTTAAAAGTCTATTCTGAGATTGCATATATGCATATACATTATGCGGTGAGGTGAGGTGAAATTGGGTTTAACGTCGTGCTTGAGAATATTTCGCTCATATGACGACGTGAATGCGTGTGTATGTGTATGTGCGGCTGCTTGTACTAGCCCAGACTGAAGCTGGTTTTATAGTGCTAGCCCACTGAGATACCATGCCGCAGTGAAGCATGAATACCCCACTCAGACACATTATACTGACTCCGAGCCGACCAGTCCTTGTTGTACCCATTAATGCCGAGCGCCAGGCAGGGACCAACAAGTACCATATTTTAACGTCTTTTGGTATGAAGCGGTCGGGGATCTAACCCGCGACCTTCCGCTCTCCGTGCGGACGCTCTAACCACTACACCACGGAGGCGGTCCATACATTATGCAATATCAACGTCTTCTTGTTTAGTGAGCCCAGTGGTTAAAGCGTTCGCTCGTCACGCCGAAGACCCGGGTTCGATTTCCCACATGGGTACAATGTGTGAAACCCATTTCTGGTGTCCCCCGCCGTGATATTGCTGGAATATTGCTAAAGCCCAACTCTTCTTGTTCTCTAACGATTGCCTTTCATATTGTGGAAACCTCCCAATAAATTATAACCTTTCGCTTCAGCTTCCAACATCAGCGACGTCTGCGACGTCAACTCTAAATGTCTCAGCCCCTTCGCCTACTGCAGCAACGGCGTCTGTGACTGCATCAGCTTCTTCAGAAAGACGACGTTGAACACATGCTCGCAGATGGGGACCAAGGTCATCAGTGAGGACTGTAGTCCAGGAATTGACGACTGTGGGCTGTTCGCGGAATGTCGGGACCGGAAGTGCGTGTGCGAAAGTGGCTACCGGGAGAAAAAAAACGAGGAATTCTGGGCTGAACCTGACAGTGTCGTTGAGTGTGTTCAAGAGACGTTTTCGCTAGGTGAGGATGGTGTTTCTGGTGAATTTCTGTTAGTGCAGTCTTATTTGTCAGAGGTCTTATCCTGTCAGAGCAAAAGGTTTACTCATATAGTCTGACGTGACGTCGTCATTATTTGATAAATGCAATTGTGATGACGTCATAACGTGATGTCACGTGGTACTGCGCACAGGTCATAGATCAGGTGATGTGAAGCAACACTTGCAGTATGGAGTAGTTGAATGGGTGACCTTGAAGGGTATCTCAGCTGAATGTTTCAAGGGCTTCGCTCCTGCCTTGTCAAGAAACACATGTTGTACATTAGTGTCTCCTTGGGCAAGTTAACATGTCCGAAATATACGTGGTCTCTTTTCACCCAGCAGTATGTGGGTACCCGGTAGGATGCGATGATAGTGTTGAGCCTTGAGTCCTGCATGTTAAAGCATCCTTCAAATGCAATCTTAATCTCATGTGTGATGGTCATTTATTCGTCACTTGACACTGTTCGCGCATCATATTTCCTTACTAACGATACGAAGGCGGTCTACACAGATCAACCACAAATATTTCACCTTCACCGCTTGTAAACTGATAAATTCGCCCATAGTTGACATATTACTCCCAGAAAGTGTAGGGCCCGTAAGTAGGTCACGCACTTCGCGAGACCTCAGTACTTCCGGTGACAAACACCGTTTCATACCTTTTCGAATGGTCTCATGGCTGTCAATTGAAGGTAAGGAACTGATAATCTTTGCAGGAATAGCAAATTTCCCATCTAACCATCCCAACTATTACGACAGCCAAGCATGAATGTCCGGTCTAGTAAAGTCATATTTGGCGGTCGCGCAGTTTGGAACTAGAACTGTCATCGGAAATCTTGTACCGGAAGTAAGCTGGGCCCCGTCTGGGATATCGTCAGTGGGTGAGCGCAAAGGGGAGACGGGAACCAGCTTAGTACCTGAAGTAGCGCCTAGCGAGACTTACAGGCCCTATTACAAGATACCTCACGCTGAATGAATAGCTTCTCTCTATTCTGACTCTTAGAATATTTTTTCTCACAAGACGAAAGATGGTATATTTGACCACCGAATCAGACCAAACTGATACACCTTTGTATCTTTCAGATTCATGCGGTGATGAAACAAAGCCACAGACCACAACCATTACCTCTTTGACCACTACCACCACTACAGCAACGACTACCTCCACGACAACCTCTACCTCCACGACAACCTCTACAACACCACCAACAACAACGACGACCCCAACAACGTCCACTTCTACAACAACGACCCCATCAACGTCTACTTCTACGACAACGACCACATCTACGACAATTTCAACGACGACTTCATCAACGTCCACTTCTACGACAACGACCCCATCTACGACAATTTCAACGACAACGACACCAACCCCATCTACGACAATTTCAACGACAACGACTTCATCAACGTCTACCTCTACGACAACGACCCCATCTGCGACAATTTCAACGACAACGACACCATCAACGTCCACTTCTACGACAACGACCCCATCTACGACAAATTCTACGACAACGACTTCATCAACGACGACTTCCACAACAACGACTTCATCAACGACCACCACTACACCAACCCCACCAACTGCTGCAGAAACATCAGCAATCACTTCAACTTCCACACCACCAACCACGGTCACTACTCCGATCACACTTACCTATCCATCGTCAACCACCGCTTCAACAACCACCGTGGGTTCCACGACCACAACAGCATCAATTCCCGCAACATCCACAGTTCAAACGACTTCGTCTGAAACCGGAACTGCAACGACAACTGCTCTGCCGACAATACCAACAACGGCTAGAACATCTACATCCCTAAACAGTCAACAAACGTCGACATTAAGGACATCTGCTCCACCTTCAACCACATATACAACATCCCCAAAATCAACATCTTACACTCAGACGACAACCACATACACACCATCAACCCAACAATCAACAGCGTATACTCAGACGTCAACGTCAACTACACCATCGACAAAATCTTCAACAATGCCTGAAGCTTCAAAGCCATCTACTGCAGATGCAGTAACGTCATCGTCATTGGGGTTCTCTCCAGATGACAATGTGTTCCTGCTGCTTGTCTCTTCACACTCCCTGTATCGAGGTTTAGCCTTACAGTTCCTTATAGAATGTGTTCCTGCTGCTTGTCTCGTCACACTCCCTGTATCGAGGTTTAGCCTTACAGTTCCTTATAGAATGTGTTCCTGCTGCTTGTCTCGTCATCGAGGTTTAGCACAGTTCCTTATAGAATGTGTTCCTGTATCGAGGTTTAGCCTTACAGTTCCTTATAGAATGTGTTCCTGCTGCTTGTCTCGTCACACTCCCTGTATCGAGGTTTAGCCTTACAGTTCCTTATAGAATGTGTTCCTGCTGCTTGTCTCTTCACACTCCCTGTATCGAGGTTTAGCCTTACAGTTCCTTATAGAATGTGTTCCTGCTGCTTGTCTCTTCACACTCCCTGTATCGAGGTTTAGCCTTACAGTTCCTTATAGAATGTGTTCCTGCTGCTTGTCTCGTCACACTCCCTGTATCGAGGTTTAGCCTTACAGTTCCTTATAGAATGTGTTCCTGCTGCTTGTCTCTTCACACTCCCTGTATCGAGGTTTAGCCTTACAGTTCCTTATAGAATGTGTTCCTGCTGCTTGTCTCTGTCACACTCCCTGTATCGAGGTTTAGCCTTACAGTTCCTTATAGAATGTGTTCCTGCTGCTTGTCTGCTTGTCACACACTCCCTGTATCGAGGTTTAGCCTTACAGTTCCTTATAGAATGTGTTCCTGCTGCTTGTCTCTTCACACTCCCTGTATCGAGGTTTTAGCCTTACAGTTCCTTATAGAATGTGTTCCTGCTGCTTGTCTCCGTCACACTCCCTGTATCGAGGTTTAGCCTTACAGTTCCTTATAGAATGTGTTTCCTGCTGCTTGTCTCTGTCACACTCCCTGTATCGAGGTTTAGCCTTACAGTTCCTTATAGAATGTGTTCCTGCTGCTTGTCTCGTCACACTCCCTGTATCGAGGTTTAGCCTTACAGTTCCTTATAGAATGTGTTCCTGCTGCTTGTCTCTTCACACTCCCTGTATCGAGGTTTAGCCTTACAGTTCCTTATAGAATGTGTTCCTGCTGCTTGTCTCGTCACACTCCCTGTATCGAGGTTTAGCCTTACAGTTCCTTATAGAATGTGTTCCTGCTGCTTGTCTCTTCACACTCCCTGTATCGAGGTTTAGCCTTACAGTTCCTTATAGAATGTGTTCCTGCTGCTTGTCTCGTCACACTCCCTGTATCGAGGTTTAGCCTTACAGTTCCTTATAGAATGTGTTTCTGTAACACACAGTTTTACAACACGTTTGTTTTCTTCAGCATTGGACACTGACGCCAGACAAAGTACCCCGGTAGTTCCAGGAGATGAAGATTTTTCAAAAGGTACCGTAACATTTGTATTGTACTTGCACTAACAGTTTTCACAAGCTCTAAGGAACCGTTCATAACTAATGGCTAAGTGTGTGTGTGCGCGTGCGCGTGTGCGTGTGCGTGATATGATGATGATCTTTATGGTGAAGCTTAAATGACCAAGTAAAGTTAAGTAAGTGACCCCTCTGCTTATCATGTACATGTCTACAAAAGTGATGACCTTCCCTTAAAATCGCCATCACGAACGGGGCGGAGGGGTAGGTTCACTCACTCACCCACTCGTCATTGAACAGCATCCCAGAATATTGCAAGCGTTTTCATCAAACATTTGATGCTAGGAGGACAGGAACTGGAAATGCATATGTGTAGAACGTTTGTTAAGACATGTTTAAATGGAACATGGAAATATCAACTGCCTCACTTGATATAATCATCTCTCCTACAGTTATCTTTAGAATAATTAATCCTGTGCCTATATTTCTATTTTCACTACCCATCAAGAACCCAGTTTAGAATTCGTCTTCAGTAACCCATGCAGAGGCGACTAACGGGATTGGGTGGTCAGGCTCGTTGACCTGGTTGACACATGTCATCGGTTCCCAATTGTGTAGATCGATGCTCATGCTATTGATCACAGGATTGTCTGGTCCAGACCTGTTTATTTTTCAGACCGCCGCCATATAGCTGGAATATTGCTGAGTTCGGCGTTAAACAGCCAACTATTTTTACACAATGTGATATTTTCGTAGAGTGAGTTTATTCTGTATGAATGTATATATGTTTTACAAACTGTGTGCTTTCTATTTCCAGTGGCTTTAATTGCATCCGTCTGTACAGCTGTTGTTATCCTCGTCGTTGTCATCGTCGTCGTTACCGTCCTGTGTCGAAAACGCTGCCGTTACAAACGGCGTTTGGAAGTGACCAATGACCAGACTGTTCTCAACACCTATTATGACGGACACCGTCGGGAAGACCCCACCAGACCTTGCTACATGGTTGAAACATAGCATCCCAACATGGAAACGGTCAGATTTGCTGGATCTCAGACGACGGTGCAACAGTCGTAATGTTAGATACTTGTACATAAACATACATTTGAAAGACAATGATAAATACACTTCCACTGATTTCCGACGTCGGGGTCCAAGGGCGTTTCAATAGTGTAAGGACAGCCTTCTTCGAGCTGCGTCCCTTGGTGAGGTCCGGGTTCGAATCTCGGTTTATGTCAGCAACATAACTGTGTTCATGGGTCTTCCCATGGTAAACTTGGTGACGTCTTTTGAAGTCTGGAGACGCTTAGTCATGTGATATATCTGAACTGCAACAGCACTATTAATTCCTAGTGTAGGCACTAGTGTCTGTCAGGCATTAGATTTTGCTGGAGACACAGGCTTCCCATCGACACGGACCCGTGAAGATCCGGGATAGAATAGGTCTTCAGCAACCCATTCTTGTCATAAAAGGCGACTGCTTGTCGTAAAAGGCGACAAACGGGATCGGGTGGTCAGGCTCGCTGACTTGGTTGACACATGTCATCGGTTCCCAATTGCGCAGATCGATGCTCATGCTGTTGATCACTGGATTGCCTGGTCAAGACTCGATTATTTACAGACCGCCGCCATATAGCTGGAATATTGCTGAGTGCGGTGTAAAACTCAACTCACTCACTCCCATCGACACGTAGTCGCCTTTACAACACCTCTACAGACACCAGGGCCTCCTTTCACAAAGCAGTACAATGTTAACGAATGGGACTTAAAGGTTAACCTTAGTGCGTCAGAATCACTGGCAGAATACAGGTCGGGAGGAAAGCCCAACTGTAATTTGACGCCTAAGTCATACACTGAATTGTGCGAAACATACTGTGATCTTACAGAGATCCAGCTTCCGGTACACACGGGGTCTCTACGACTGTTATTGAACGGTCGAACCTATGGATACAGTGAACAGTGAACATGAAACGACCAGGCTTCAGATACACGTCAGGTCTTATTGGTGTACGAAGTAACATACAATTAAACGGTCATGTGCGGTCCATTGAATACACTGAAGGTTGGCGGTGCAGTGGGCTAACCTTGTTTTAAAGTGTTCGCTCGTCACGCCCAAAACCCGTGTTTGATTCCCCACATGGTTACAAGGTATGAAGCCCATTTCTGGTGTCCCTCGCCGCGATATTGTTGGAATATTGGTGAAAGCGGCGTAAAATTAAAGTTACTCACTCACTGAAGAGCGACAGTGAGTGAGTGAGTACGTGAGTGATTGAGTATAAGCCGACGGTCTGTAAATAATCAGTCCAGTGATCCACAGCATGAGCATCGATCTACGCAGTTTGGAAACGATGACACCCACCCACACACACCCGAAGTATGGCTTACTGAAGATCAATTCTAAGCCGGATCTTCACGGGTGCGAAGAGCAGCAGAGCGGATGCAGTGTTACTATATTAATGTCAGATGTAGTCATTCTCTGGTGGTAATTTCCAAGAATCTAATATCTGTTGATGACTTCCTTTAAAACATACGGCATATTTGGGATTACACTTCCTCAGTACAGTGGAACGCCTCCGTAGTATAGTGGTTAGAGCGTCCGCCCGGAGAGCGGAAAGTCGCCGGTTCGATCCCCGACCGCGTCATACCAAAAGACGTTAAAATATGGTGCTTGCTGGTCCCTGCTTGGCGCTCGGCATTAATGGGTACAACAAGGACTGGTCGGCTCGGAGTCAGTATAATGTGTCTGAGTGGGGTATTCATGCTTCACTGCGGCATGGTATCTCAGTGGGCTAGCACTATAAAACCAGCTTCAGTCTGGGCTAGTACAAGCAGCCGCACATACATATACACACGCATGCACGTCGTCATATGTGCAAAATATTCTCAATCACGACGTTAAACCCAATTTCACCGCACCTCACCTCAGTACAGATTCTAGTACTTTTGTAAGGTTTTGTCTGGGATTTGGAACATACACCTGTACTTTACTGAAACCGTACTTTGCCGAGAAAGTGTAATCCCAAATATGACATGTTTCATATGACCAATTTGTAAATGACATTGTGAATTGACAAGCTTCCTTTGACTCACTTGTCACACAAGGGACGGAGGTGTAGGCTGAACCCTGTTGTCACACAAGGGACGGAGGTGTAGGCTGAACCCTGTGGTTAAAGCGTTCGCTCGTCACGCCGAACACCCGGGTTCGATTCCTCATAAGGGGAAAATGCGTGAAGGCCGTTTCTGGTGTCCCCCGCAGTAATAAAGCTGACAAATTACCTAAAGCGGCGTAAAACTATACTCAGTCACTGATGTCATGTGACGCAAATAAAGAAGAATGTAGGCACTGAACGTAATGTACTTATTACACATTTTAAAAGATGTGTTTTGAACTTAAATCTGTGGACGGAAAATGTATTATCTGTGTGATAATCCTGGAAAATTTAAACAGTAATATGACGGCACCAATATGGGTATCAGGCATTGTACCCATGTGGGGATGGAACCCGGACACTGATTTGCGACTTGAGAGAGAGAGACACACACAGACACACAGACACACACACACACACACACACACAGACACACACACAGACAGAGACAGACAGACAGACACACACACACAGACAGACAGACAGACAGAGTGTGGGTTAAGTGGAAAACCAACATATAACAAAGAAATGTGATGTAATTACCAACTATATTCTCGACAAAGGTATTACAACACACAAAATACAAATTCAAATGCATTCAATGTAAGAACAGTGTTTCAAGTAATAAATGACAAGGGCAAATGATTTTTACTTCTATCTTCTTGTAGTGTGAGATTTAATATCAGACCCCAAAAGCTGGAACTTGTTTATAGTGTACCTGCTCTAAGTATGGTGGCTGATTAGGGCCATCGCTTTCTCGCCTTAAAATTCGGAGGCGAGAAAGCGAGAAAGCGATATCACGAGACGAGAAAGCGATAACACGAGACGAGAAAGCGATAGCACGAGACGAGAAAGCGATAGCACGAGACGAGAAAGCGATAACGCGAGACGAGAAAGCGATAACGCGAGACGAGAAAGCGATAACACGAGACGAGAAAGCGATAGCACGAGACGAGAAAAGCGATAACGCGAGACGAAGAAAGCGATAAAGAGGAGAAAGCGATAGCGATAAAGCGAGAAAGCGATAAAGCGAGAAAGCGATAGAGCGATAGAGCGAGAAAGCGATAAAGCGATAGAGCGAGAAAGCGATATTACCCACAATTCAGTGCTGTCTGCGCATGATCGACTGCAAACGGGATCTCAGTCGCCATCGTAATTTCTGGATAGTATTAAATGGTTTTCAGTAATGTTCTTGCCCACGAATGGCCGTGTATGACTAGACTTTTAGAAAATATCTTATAGAGATGTAGACTTTCCTTTGACATGCAATTTGCACGTATGCAATAGTCATATCGTGAAATAACGGAAACGTTCATTTTGTGATGTGACTTAAGGAATTACATATTTTTTGACATAACTGGATTCGAATTGTCTTAACCAACTTAATCACACCAACCAATTGAATTGTTTCTTTGATGGGCATTTTAGATTTTGAGTTGATGAAGAATAATGACAATTATATTGGATATACAACTTCTTTTATTCTGTGGAGGCGACGTTTCGACATAGATTCTAATGTCGTTGTCAAGCAAGTGATACATGAGTAACAAATTGAGAGAATATATACATGAGTTGTTATTACGGTAGATAGGGGATGAGTTGTTTATACATTAAATGAGGTTGATGTACAACGCTTGTAGAAGAGATTGAGTAAGTTGATTGGAAGCTAGAAGGGTGATATACAAGGACTGAATTAGAATTTATAGGAGGCCAGGTTGATGTATATACAAAAGATGGGTTTGATGTACATAGTTGAATTGAAACAGATAATGTACACAAGAAATATTATTGATTACTTTATCAAGTAATAATAGGCATTGGGAATGTAGTATCCTTCATCTCTGTTGAGAGCGGATCATATCTTCTTGATGTGTACTGCTCCCAAAAGTTTCCGAATTTTCTAGTCTGACTGGTTCTTTTTTATGGTTTTCTTTGAATTATGATGTTGTGTGAGAAATGTGTCGGAAGTGCCAGATGAACGGGAGGGACCTATGACAAATAAGGCATTGTGACGAGTATATTTTCATGTCATTTTCCACCATGAGTGGCCAGCACTAAGACAATCAACCACATCCAAACCAGCATCCTAAAATAAAATCACCGAGTGAGTGTGTGAATTGAAATACATGTATATGTCGCCTAAGAGCAATATTCATGTTTTAGGTTCATTGTTGATGGTTTTGTGACGCCATATTGTACGCCATCAGTTCAATTCCAACTTAATGGAATGGTGAGTTACACTTACATTTCAAACAAATTGGAGCTTGCGTTTCTTTTGCAGCTCAGTTTATTACATATACATCACATTCAGAGAGTTTTGAAGTATGTGACACTATAAATGAGCTGTATGTAGACGATTCAAAATAATTATCAGTTCTCGCTGTTTGGTTATAGGTGGAGGAATTAGAAATGAGGCATGGGAACTTAACCGTTTATGTTTATGTCACTTTATTGTATTTCAGGGTGATCAAAATACAGCTGTAGTTTCTTTGAATTAATAAAAACGATGAAATTTATTAACTGAAGAACTTCACCTACATGAACCCAATTCGCTCCTACCCAAAGATAGAGGAGACGCACGTGACAGTAAAGCACCTTGGTACCTCAATGTAGTAACAGAACCATTCCACAGTCAATGGTGTAATCTAAGCAAATAAAAGGATGCAGTCAAACGTTCGTCTAATCAAAGCTGAAAATAGTACGCAGTTAAACGCTGGTCTAGCCATATATAGTGAACTTCTTTGGATGGCATTTAGAAGTTGGTGTGCTTAACAACGGGGAAAGTTATATGGATATACAACGCCTTTATTATAATGTAAGAGACATTTTGGTCCGCCAATTTCAAACCTGTTCTGCCATCAAAATATCTATCAAAACCCATCTTTTCCGCCATGTTTTCTTCTGACAAAAGTTAGATAATAGACATGTTATACCAACAACTGGTTTTCTACAATATATTATTACCCTCCGCCGCTATTTTGACTGTATGTAATAATTGATGTGTGTGATATGTACTCTTATACCACCATTGGTGGTCTATTGAGAATAAAAGTAAAGTAAAGGCTACAGCTGGACGTGGTCGCATAGGTTTTGAAAAGCTGATTAGTGTATCCAGTTAATCCTTCGTAACATTTTCGTTTCCAGAGGAGGAC